AGAGGAACCCGCAGCCCTCGCAGAATTTCCGCCGGCGGCGCCCCTCTGCGGCCGCAGCAGCACCAGCAGCTGCAGCAACCGCAAGACGACCAGGACGCCCCACCGAGCCCAAAGCGGAGACGCCGCCAATAATCGACGGTCTCCGTGTCCTCGGGGACGCACGAATCCAGTGGCGAAGAGGAGAGCGACAGACAACAGGAACTACGAGCCTCGATCACCATCCTGTAGTCCTCCGCCAAGCCCACCACCGCCCACCACCGCCCAGCACTACCAATCGTCGTCAGCACAGCCAACTAACATCTTTCCGTTGTCTGCAGGATGGAGAATTACAACACTCAGGTGGCCGAGATCGGGCATGTCTTGGCGCGGGTGGTCATGCACACGGACCACCTGCTCGGGGAGGTCGCCCGCCTTGAGACTCGGCGGCCAATGCGCTCCCATCTCCCGGTCCTCCTGCAGGCAGCGAAAGCCGCCCGTTCAGCTGCCGCCAAACTCTACAACGCGACAGACCCGCAGCACCATACAAAGCTGTGGACGGTGTCCGCATCCTGCCCGTCCTGCAGATACTTTCCGCCACAACCGTTCTACATCTTGCCAAGATACACGCAAGGAGCCACCAACCCCGGCCCTCGCTGTCCTAAGTGCCATCTGACTACACGGGAGCCCCTCATCATAACGGGCTTCACTAAGAAGCCCGTACCGGACCACGCCGGGGTGCGCCATGAGCAAATGGGCGTGCGGTTCGACGCGGCGTTGGGACTCCTCAAGCTCATCGGCGAGCCGCAGCCCGCCCTCGAGCCCGTCCCGGCACCCGCCCAGACTCTGACGCTAGCCGTGCTGGCGCCAGCCTTTGCAACAATTCACCGAACTGTAACGGCGGACCAGCTCCGCACTTGGCCACCGCAGCAACCAATCGCCCGCCCACAGAATCATCCCGTCACACCCACCTCAGCACCACAAGAGAGACAGCAAGAGGCCTGGCCGCTACCCCGTATCAAAAAGAAGGTCGACGTCTACGATTTCAGAGGTTGCACTCTCTAAAAATCGTATTGACCTCATAGCCACCCTCTGCAAAATCTGGGCGCCTCAGACAACGCTTTCCCGGCCCGGATCGCATTTGAAGTTGGGGACTCGGAGCGACCGCCAGAGGGACCCTTATGTTGAGCGAGTGCTGTGCGCGACTGGTTGGCCTAGGAGCGGCAGGGTGCTGGTCAGTTGAGACCCTATGGCCCCTACCTCTCCAGTGCCGCGGAGAATCCGGGTCGACAGCAACCGCGTCCTGTGCAGGGGCGTAAGTATCGCGACAGACTATGTCACGTTCGACTCATCAGCTTTGTGTTTTTCGGTGTTATTTCTTTGTAGATATTAGGGCTTTACCATGCTAGACCGAAACCGTTCTGAACGCCAGGTAACGCCCGCGTTTCGATAGGATTTTTTTTTGAAAAAAAGGGTATTTGCGCCTGTGGTGATGTCAGGTAGACCACCTGCATTACCGGCCTGCGTATTTTCTTGCCTAGCTGACAGGCGTTTTCGGAACAATTTCAATTTTCACCGTGATCGCGTCAGCGCTACCCGGCGTTTTTCACTGTTTTATTCTTAGTATGGGTCACCCCTGATGTCCGGTAAATAAAAACATTTGAAACTGACAATTCCTTTCTTCAAACGTATCATGGGCTGTCGCTACACTTACACCCCTGTAGAGGACGCGTTTGCTATGACACTGGATTCGCCTCAGCAGTTGAGAAGTAGGGTTCATAGGGTCTCATCTCTAGCGGACGCCGATTTGACTGAGGATGAGAAATTGATCACTCTAAAAATGTTGGAAAAATATACTGATTGCTTTGGTTACGAGTTAAAACCTGGTTGTTTCGTTCCAAATATTTATGCACACTTAGAATTAAAAGAGCC